TCAATTCAGACTCCTCTATGTAGATTGGTTTTGAATTCAGACTCGCCTACATAAATTTGTTCTCAGTTCAGACTCACTAACATAGATTTGTTATCAATTCAGACTCCTCTATGTAGATTGGTTTTGAATTCAGACTTGTCTACATAGATTTGTTCTCAGTGTAAACTCACATACACAGGTTTGTTCTTAATTCATAATTACATAAACAGATTTGTTCTGAGTTCAAGTTTTACTGGTTTTGCATTTGAATTCAGACCCAGTTCAACAGATTTGCACTCCAATACAGACTCAATATGCACTCCAGAAATCTGACCTAAACAACCTCAAACACAACAGCTTCAACAGATCAAAAATCTCCAACATGGCTGCACTCAAATTCAAATGAATCCTTTGGAAATTTAGATGCACAAATCAGACTCAAACTGATTTTCATTCAAATACAGACCAACTTAAGTAGATCCGTTCTCAATTCAGCCTCCCCTACGCAGATTTGTTCTAAATTCAGACTCGCCTACACATATTTGTTCTCAGTTCAGACTCACTAACATAGGTTTGTTCTCAATTCAGACTCACGCATGTATATTTGTTCTCAATTCAGACTCCTCTATGTAGATTGGTTTTGAATTCAGACTTGCCTATATAGATTTGTTCTCAGTGTAAACTCACATACACAGGTTTGTTCTTAATTCATAATTACATAAACAGATTTGAATTGTTGACGCACAATTCAGACTCAAACTGATTTCCATTCAAATACAGACCAAATTAAGCAGATACGTTCTCAATTCAGATTCACAGTGGTACAACAGTAATTCAATTTAGGAATGCTGAGAATGGCAGAATAAAACAGTGAAGGGTTCTCCATAGAGTGTACTTATAAGATGAAAGACTGAGGGGCTGAGGAAATACAAGAGAGTCTCTGAGTCTTTTTGTGAAAAATATGGGAAACAGAATGAGATCTATGACCATAAAGAAACAATACCGCAGAGAGAGGAAGATATGGAAGTGGAGAGAGAAACCGCATGAATGGAATACTGATAACTAGCTTGACAGATCCCCTCTATAACTGCTGCAGACAACAAATTCAGCTGTGACTTAGTAAACCTCCACATATGCTTACAGACACATACACACACAATCAGTTTCCCTGACTGAAGCGGACTAATGCACATGGCTCTCACATATCTCAAAATAGGGTGGGAATTTCTTTAATAAAAATTTAATTTCTTAAATAATTTTAAAATGTATTAAGTTATATTTTGATAATTTGCTACTACACTCTAAAAAATGCTGGGTTAAATACAACCCAGTGCTGGGTAAAATAGGGACAAACCCAGCAATTGGGTTGTTTTGACCCAGCGGTTTGATTAAATGTTTAACCCAACCTTCTGGGTAGTAACCCAACCGCTGGTTCAAAACAACCCAATTGCTGGGTTTGTCCCTACTTTACCCAGCACTGGGTTGTATTTAACCCAGCATTTTTTAGAGTGTAGGTTTATATCCTGGGGGATATAGAGATTTGAACGCTGCGGAGAGCAACAGTGAGCGAGTGAACCTAATTTCTCAAAAAAATATTGAAAAGTGGGTCTCTGCAAATACTGCAAATAGATTCTGTCATCAACTCAACATCTTTATCTAAAATTAACATGGCAGCATGCTTTGAGAAGACCACTGACCTCAAAATAATAAATGTCGACATCTCATTATTTAACTGGCATATACAAACTAAAATCAATAAAAGTAATATTTTAAAGAGACCATTCTGAAGTAATGAGCTCTGTTTTCCTTGACACTCATAAGAAGCATTAATCCAACACTACCTGTACATTTCTACTGATCACAAACCAAGTCTCATCTTTATCCCAGTACGCCAGCAATCAAAACTCTAGTGGTTGGATTTACCTGTATAAACCGGTATAAACAGGTGCAGGAAAACCGACCCCATGAGGATATGTATAACTTTTTCATTGTTTTTTAGAGATAAACGAAGAGCAGGTAAATCCATATTTATATTCACAAACATGGTCAGTTTGGTCACTCAAGAAAGCTGTAACTACTAAGCCAGAATTATTTTCTATAGTTTTAAAACTGGTGTCATTGGTTCTGTTCTCTTTATATACAATGTATGTCTGCCATCTGCTGTATGACACTTGGTACTGCAAAATGATCAAGAGAAAAGTTAATTTTATAGTTAACTTATAAAGATATTTAATAAAAATCTTTACAAAATTGTATAATAACTATTCGCTTAGTTATTAAATAATCTTGACTATTTGTGACCCTGGACCACAAAACCAGTCTTAAGTCGCTGGGTTATATTTGTAGCAATAGCCAAAAATACATTGCATGGGTGAAAATTTGAAAAGTATTGATTTTTCTTTTATGCCAAAAATCATTAGGATATTAAGTAAAGATCATGTTCCATGAAGATATTTTGTAAAATTCCTACGGTAAATATATTAAAACTTAATTTTTGATTAGTAATATGCATTGCTAAGAACTTAATTTGAACAACTTTAAAGGCGATTTTCTCAATATTTTGATTTTTTTGCACCCTCAGATTCCAGATTTTCACATAGTTGTATCTCAGCCAAATATTGTCCTATCCTATCAAACCTTACATTACTGGAAAGCTTATTTATTCAGCTTTCAGATGATGTATAAATCTCAATTTCGAAAAATTGACCCTTATAACTGGTTTTGTGGTCCAGGGTCACATTTGTGTATTTATATCAATTTTTTTTAATTATGTATATAATAAAATAAAATATTCATTGTTTTAAAATACAACTATCTCAGTTAAGACCACAGACTGTGGTTAAGACCTAAGACTTCACAGTAAGCCAGCTGTAAATTTGCATTTGATAACTGATTTGCATCGATAGTGGTTTTGTGAGTTATAACAAAGTCGAAAACGCCGTGACGCCTAGCAACGGTTGTTAGTACAATCCGCGTGCAGTCAGTCACCATGGAAACGCTAAACGAAGCACTCGGAAGAGCAGCGTAGCGACGCTAAGTACTAAGAAACTAAGTACAAAGAAAGTTTATATAAAACTCACCTTCACTTTCTAGTCCAAACTTATCGAATAACAGAGATGGAGGGTCTCGCGTCCGTGCATGATCTCCAGGCGCTGTCCGCTCTGCTGTCCCCAAACAATGAAGATGAGGAAGAAGATCTCCAGGTTTGAGTTTCTAACAAGTGCTGCTTAACATTGTCAACTGTCGAATTTTTGCGTAAGGATGTAAGTCCACTAATAATTAACCGCCTTTTTTTCTTATTTTCTTTTTTTTTTTTTAGCAAGTGAAGCCCTTGGCGAGGATGGGCCCGGGACATATCGGCTCTCCTGCTGCACCTTCGGGAAAAAACAACAAAGAGGGTATAATGCATTTATATAGCATAAAATGATGTAATATAGCTAATAATGTGTAATATATATAGAGAGAGATAAATACATTTTATTATACATATTTAAAATTAATTTTAGATTTTATAATACAAATATTTAATATAGATGATTTCATATATATATACAGTGGGTAATATATATATATATATATATATATATATATACACACACAAAAAAAAGAGGGATCACATTACTACAATTTTACCGTCTTTACATTGGCTTCCTGTAAAGTTTAGAATTGATTTTAAAATAGCTGTCTTTGTGTACAAGGCTTTATCTGGTCTTGCACCAAAAAACATCAGTGACCTGATTCCTTACACTCCTCAAAGAGCACTTAGGTCTAGTAATCAGCTTCTCTTAACTGTCCCACGTTGTCGCAGTAAAACCAAAGGTGGTCGGGCTTTTTCAGCTGCAGCTCCTAAACTTTGGAATAGTTTGCCTGTAAATGTGAGACTTGCTCCTCACTAGCCAGTTTTAAGTCTATTCTCAAATCTTATTTGTTTTCTCTGGCATTTGATTAATGTCAGTTTGCTCTGATTCTATTTTAATGTGTTTATTTTTCATATAATGCATGTTTCCTATTATGCTTTTTATATACTGTGTTTTGTTGTACAGCACTTTGGCGCAACTCTGTTGCTTTTAAATGTGCTATAGAAATACATTTTGACTTGACTTTGATATATAGTATTTTAACTTTGAAATTGCTATATAATTTCTTTGAATTTGTTAAACATTGTTACATGTTTTTTTATTATTATGCTGGTATTTATGGGTTCACTTTTGAGAGCATTAAAGCATCCTTCTATATCCTTTTTTATCTCTCTCTTCCCTCTAGGTAGCACTGCCTATGTGAAGAAGTACAGCAAAAACATCTGGGATGAGGATGAAGTGACAGAGGGAGCACATTTTGATGACCTCACCGACCCAAGGCCACAGCCAGAGTAAGACAAAATACATGCATGACAGAATCACATATGGGCTGTAAGTGAGCTGGCCTCTCACCATGTGCGTTTTTGATTAGGTATGAGATTGTGCTGAAACAGTCTGTTGGGACTGAAGATTTGTTTCTTGGCTTGAGCAGAAAGGACCCCTCATCCATGTGTTGTGACAGCATGCTGGTACTCCTTATTCCTCACTCATTAAATCTTAAACATCAATACAGCATGCGTGTTAGAAGTGTTAAGTGTGTTAGAAACATTACATTTACTTCAAGGAATAGTTTACCCAAATGTAAAAATTAGCTGACAAATGTACTCACCCTCAGGCCATCCAAGATGTAGATGAGTCTGTTTCTTCAAAAATTTAGCATTACATCAGTTGCTCACAAATAGATCCTCTGCAGTGAATGGGTGCCGTCAGAATGAGAGTTCAAACAGCTCATAAAAATATCACAATAATCCACAAGTAATCCACACATCTTCAGTCCATTAATTAATATCTTGTGAAGTGAATGTCTGCATGTTTGTAAGAAACAAATCCATCATTAAGATGTTTTTAACGTTATACCTTTGCTTCCAGCTGAAATAGTCCTATATACATAATATTGCTTTCTCCAGTGAAAAAGTAATCTTGTCTGAATCAGGGGAGAGATATGCACAGATCAAACACAGTTTACAAGCAAAAACTGTTCTAAACTAATATGTTGGTGGCTTTTGATTTGAGAGGACAATAAGGGATGGACTTTTTCACATTTCACACAAGACATTAATTGTGTGATTAATAAACCAGTTGTATAAATTAATTAATAAACCAGTTGTGTGGATTCCTTGTGGATTATTGTGATGTTTTTATCAGCTGTCTGAACACTCATTCTGACAGCACCCATTCACTGCAGAGGATCCATTTGTGAGCAACTGATGTAATGCTAAATTTCCCCAAATCTGTTCAGATGAAGAAACAAGCTTGGGTGATCAATTCCTTTAAGTTGCTTAAGAGTTGCATGGAACTTTCTGGAGAGTTACAATTCACTTCAATGCACAGTAATTAGCATAGCTGTTGAGAAATATTGAATAAGTTGTAATCTCAACTCTAAGTATTGTGGATTTCCACACTATAAATTCCCCTCTTTTAAACTAATTTAAAGTTTCAAAGATCTAAAGCTTAAAATTCAGCAATGAGATTTACCAAAAAGAAAAAAGGCTGAGGTCTGAAACATCCTTTCTCCTCCCTGAAAGAGAGAGTTGGCTTTGATGGTGCATGCAGATAGCAAAAGCTGACTGGAGTAAAAACATTTGGCTGTCCTCAAATGACTGATCTGATCTTCATTTTAAAAGTTGTATTGTCAGTGTAATCTCACAAAATCTCTCTTTTTTCTCATGCAAGGTAAGAGTTAAACTGCCAGATACAAAAGCGTCTGATTTGGTGCTGGATGTAAGGGAGACATTTCTTGATCTCAGAACTCCAAAGTAGTAAGTAATCTATTAGGTAAAATGTTTTACATAGTATTCACTGCATACTGTATGTAAATATCTGTGCATCTTTTTTTGTTTCAGTAAATTGGGTCTTCACCTGCCTCACCCAGTGCACAAACAGGAGGGGAATGCCAGATTCATTGTGGAGAGAGAAGAACTGGAGATTACACTGCCCATGAACAGACCAATGGACTGCATCAACCTGACCTGAGAGAAACACAGAGAGAGTGACTGAACCATAAGCTGCATCAGTTCAGAATAGACAGTGCTGACAACTTCTACAGATACAGTTCTGCAGCCTTCCACTGACAGTCTTGAATTCCACCCGGAAACATGAACCTCACTTATAGCACTAGAACCAGGAAACAAACATAAAATGTTTCCGAATCAAGTCAATCCAAGTGGAAAGGAATAGGTGCCTATGTAAGAAGTACCTTTATATGTTGCTGTCCAGTTATTCAATACTATAAAACTCTTTTATTTCTCTTTTAATTTTAAAATGGTGAATCCTTTTAATTCGTGATTGCTTCTCTTTATGTTTTCAAAATATATTTGAAGGCAAACTGTAAAAATTATACAATTGTATTGGCTTAGCTGGCAAGGAGATTTGACCATAAAAACATTTAAGTATCATCTTAATAAGACATATTATTCAGACAAATAGTATAACAACTAGTATTTATATGCAATTTATGCAAGTTGTCTGCTAATGCTATACTGTTATAAAGTGCTAAACTGTTATAAATCTCATTGATTTACATTACAAGCTATAGAATTACTTAGAACTTATATTTTGGCCATATAAATAACAGCAACTACGAGAGCCACTTAAGCCTGGTGTATCAAATATGATACAAAACATTTTTTTTATTTATATATATATATATATGTGTGTGTGTGTGTGTGTGTGTGTGTGTGTGTGTGTGTGTGTGTGTTATATAGTCTAAAGGTTCCATAAACTGTTCCATTGACTATTAGACTATTATTTAATGTCCCTGACTACACTATACCTTACTAATCAAAGGCAAAGAGGAACAAGTGCCTGCTAAAAAAAAAATCTCTATAAACGTTGTCTTTGTATTCACCACTGCACCACTGTTTTATTTTGATCATATTCTTCTAATGAAGAATAGAACATATAAATGCTTGTTACTGGTGTTTCCTATAGACACTTTACATGTACATTTAGACATTTAGCAGAAGCTTTTATCCAAAGCGACTTACAAATGAGGACAATGGAAGCAATCAAAATCAACAAAAGAGCAATGATATGCAAGTGCTATAACAAGTCTTAACTTAACTTAACAGTTAACCTAACAGTTAGCGTAGCAAGGTTTTTTTAAAATTATATAATAAATAAAAAGAAAACAGAATAGAAAAAGAATAGAGCAAGCTTGTTATATGCCTTTTTTGCTTTTGTTAATTGTATAATAAATAAAAAGAAAACAGATAGAATACAAAAAAAAAGATTAGAGAAGCCAGTGTTAGTTGTTGTTTTTTTTTTAAAGAAAACAAGCAGTTAGTAAATAAATAAATAGAGTGCAAGTCTAAAAGGGGCAAGTTTTTTACATATATGTATAAAGAATAGAATTAGAATAGAGAGTGCTAGAGTTAGAGGGTCAAATAAAGATGGAAAAGATGTGTTTTTACATCTTTACATCTTAAGAGATGTGTTCCACCAGGAGGGCACATTTAATTTAAAAGTCCGTGGAAGTGATTTTGTGCCTCTTTAGGATGGCACAATACAGCGAAGTTCATTTACAGAACGCAAGCTTCTAGAGGGCACAAGCAACTGTACAAGCTGTATAAGAATGTGCTTCATTTCTGCCTGCACACATTTTTGAGAAGACACCCCTCTTGCGTATATAGTGATCTTTGAAATGGCAGTAAGTGACAGAATAAACAGCGTTTCGTGCGTTATTGCTCAGGGGTATCATGTAATACACCCCCCGAGCGCACGGATGCGCACACGCGTTGCCACAGCAGCGGACGTACCAGTGTGACGCAGGCAGGCTCCATACACACTCCGGTAGCACAACAATACAAGCTCTCGCCGCTCCCCCTCTTTACGCCTCGCTCTCGGTATGGCGGATGGCGAGCGGTCCCCGTTGCTCTCGGATCTCGGTAATGGAGCTCTCGGCAGTGGTAACGGCGGGGTGTCTCCCGGAGCAGCTCCACACGGTGCTCCGAACAAACCGCAGAGTGAGTAGCGAGCGCGGCGCTTTTCTGCGCTGTCACGGGCCCGCGCGCGCACACACACACATATACAAGCACACTACTGCATTTACTACGATTTAGGTTAGGTACAGTTCTGTGCGGTTATTCTTGCTTTATGTTGCACGCTGGTGATGATGGAGGCAGGACCTGAATAGATGTTTTTCTGGCTGCTCCGCATATAACTTAATGCAGTTGCATACAATACACCTGCGTCGGGAGGATGATATTATTTTGTCAAAAAAAAAAAAATGTTGAATTGATCCTCGCATACATTTGTCATCCATTAGAGAGGCTGTTACGCAGCTAATGAATGAACATCACTTGTCCAGGTTTGTTTACTGTTCTGTTATCGGCCTTCCCGCGACAAATTATAATAATAAAGGGGCAATATTTTCTTAAACTAGTCATATGACTGAGGACGACTGTACAGGGGGTTTCATTGTCCCCATTTAACCACATTTACCGGTGAGTCGGCGTCTCTGCACTAGTACACATTTACAGTAAACTGCCGAATTCGAAAACTCCAGCTACACCGAAACACATATGATTAGCACACCTTTGGACCATTCAGAAAGCCTGAAATTATTGCCTGAGGAGACCACAACCAATCATTGCGCAGAGCGGGCGGGGCCAATAAAAAGTTACTAAAGGGCGTGCTGATGATGTTGGTGTGGGGATTTTTAACTGATGTGATGCTGGTGAATTTTTATGAAAACCATATTTAAGTTTTATCATACACACGTTGGGTTTTGTATGGAGTTTACGACTTGATTTTGGGAGCTTTCAAAGGGTAAGAACTAGTGTTGTTGTTGGCGCCCTGTTTTAATTTTAGTTTTAGTCTAGTCTTTGTGTGAAACTGTCATTTTAGTTTTTATTAGTTTTAGTCACGTTCATACTCTTTTTAGTCTAGTCAAGTTTTAGTCAACTAAAAGTCTGAGCATTTTAGTCTAGTTTTAGTCGACGAAAACTGATGACATTTAGTCTAGTTTTAGTCGACGCACCCCTGCTCTCGACAGACCCCGGTTGGGAAACACTGTTCTAAGTAATGCCGCGAGTGGGGCTTGAGGAAGTGACGTCGCCTGCGTCTGCGCAGTGCGACCTGATGCAGCCCCTGAAGCGAGACACAGGAAACAGAAATACTGCAAAATAATAATAATAACGCGACTAAACGAGACGAAATAACGTTATAACATTTCGTTTCGTCTCGTTTTGGTCAACGAAAATGAAGAGACATTTTAGCATAGTTTTTATTTTGTAAACCACATTTAGTCTCGTTTTTATTCGTCAACAATATTGCATTATACATTTAATTATAGTCATCATCACATGACTAGCATTTACGTTGCGTCTCGTCTCGTTTTCGTCATGTGATAAAGGTTCGTTGACGACGATATTTAGTCATAATTTTCGTTGACGAAAGCAGCACTAGTAAGAACTACTTCAAATATCCTCTCAAATCAGGTTTAACATGTTTCACTATATTTGTGAGGACATTTTCAAAAAGTTGGCCCCCACAATTATAGGCAAATGTGTACATGATCCACTAGGCACATTCCAGCAGTCTCCTTATAACGCTGCTTTCAGCAGATCTCGAGACCAAATCTGATTTTCTTGTTAATCCTAATGGCCTGGGTGACAGAGAACTGTTTCACCTTCCCAAAGTGCAAGTTTCAGTGTTTAGTTAAACTTTGAAAAGTAAATTAAACTTTCATGTTTTCCGCTATTTTATGAGCCAATATTTCCTGTATCTATGCTAAACTGATAATACTGATGCTGTTATTCAGAAATTATGGATGTACTGTATAAATGAAACATTTACAGCATTAAAGTCGTGATCGAGATGTCAAAAAAGGTAAAAAAAAAACTACACATACATTGATAAATCGTTCACAATAAGATCTATAACATGCATTTTGATAATAGATAGGTTGAATTTTAATTTCATCCTGATTTCAGGTACAGTAAAACTTGCATACTGAATGTTTATCATAATCTGCAATGGCAATCTCTCCCTTTTTAGGCTTTCCTCCGTTTCCAAGCTTGACTCAGCCCCCTCTGTTGATGGGCGAGAACCCTCCACCATATTCCCCCCTGACGTCTCCAGAGAGTGGCAGTGCCCCAGTCATCAGCTGTAGGGTGTGCCAGTCGCTCATCAGCGTTGAGGGCAAAATTCACCAACATGTGGTCAAGTGCGGAGTCTGCAATGAAGCTACAGTGAGTTGGGACAGAGCACATATACACTTAATATTTTTATTTTACAAAACTCGGGAAGGATTAATTAGTTAGCATGTCAACTTTTGAACAGTTCTTAAATTCTTAAGTTTTGACTTATTTATTGTTTAACTGTTTGCATGCTACAGCTATTGATTCAATTCAAAATACTTTTATTGTTCATGACTGTAAACAATACATTTTTATCAATGCCAAAAAATCTTGAGCCACAGATTGAGTAATTGATTCAAATTGATTGACGGTTTATGGGCTTCTGTCAGCAAATATTGATACACTACCATTCAAAAGATTGTGGTTAGTAAAATGTTTTAATGTTTTTGAAAGAAGTATCTTATGCTCACCAAGACTTAACTTAATTTTAATAGTAGTGTATATACATTGAATGATTCAACATTATATACAGTACATTTAATTTGATTGAAATTTGTAATCGATTAACAGTGCCAAAACATAAAATCACTTCATTTAGTAACCACACACACTTTAGTTTTTGCGTAGCCAGAATTAACTCTGTCTCTTTTCTGTCTCTCCTCCTTTCTATTTAAATGAACCTTCATTCTCACCAGCCCATAAAGAATGCCCCTGCAGGGAAGAAATATGTGCGGTGTCCTTGTAACTGTCTTCTCATCTGCAAGGTCACATCCCAAAGGATCGCCTGCCCTCGGCCTTATTGGTAAGAGAGAGAACAGAAGTAGACAAAGTTAAATTTAAGACAAATGAAATCTTTGACACTAATACACATCGTCTTGTCACAGTCAGGATTGTGTATGCGAAGAATTGAATGTGTTTGTCTCCATGTCTGGACTAGTAAGAGGATCATAAATTTGGGGCCAGTCCATCCGGGTCCAGCCAGTCCAGAACCACAACCTGCTGGAGCTAGAGTTTCCTGCGGACACTGCAGCAACACTTTCCTGGTACATACACACACACACACAGTACAGCAACATCATACTGTATCATTCTCCGCTGCAGTGACATCTTGACCGGATCACTCGGCTCAGGTTCAGCATCATGTTAAAGTCGAATATCAGATGGCAATTTATTCTTGTTTTATTTATGCTACTGCCTCACATTAGCTGCTCAACCACTTTCTCAACATTTCAGTGGACCGAATTTACTGACAGGACACTGGCTCGATGCCCCCATTGCAGAAAAGTGTGAGTATTTCTGAGCCAACATTCACAACACATTTTGCATTTACCAAATAAATCAAACTATTTTATTAGATGGCAAATAAGTCAGCATTTAATGCCTGTCTAAGCCCCCTGTACACAGCTTTAGCTTCTGAAATGCATTACTGCCTTTTACTGGGTGTAATTTTTTTCAATTTTGATAAATATCCCATAACATTTTAACATCCTGTCCTAGCTTATTACATAGAGACTATAACTAAGCCATTCATTGACTGATTCCCTCATATCTGTGGCTCTTGTCAAAACATTGCTCTGTTTGTTTGAGCATACAGACAAAGCAACATAGGCTCAGCCAATGGCATGAGTTTGGGGTGGGTCATTATTTTTATAATTAGTGCTATAGTGCTAGTGGTACAGAAATTACACACTTCGCCTTTAAATAGTTTTGCATATTCCATTCCATATCCCATGCTGTTCCTCTGATTGGTCTTTTTTCTCTTTATTTTTCTTCACCAGATCTTCGATTGGACAGAGATATCCGAGGAGGCGGAGTCTTTGGTGTTACCTGCTGTGCTTGCTATTTAGCATCTCAGCCGCTGGTCTGATTGTGAGTGTGCATCTTATATTTATCCATCAGTATATTTATCAACCATACTTGTGACCCTGGACCACAAAACCAGTCTTAAGTGTCAATTTTTCCAAAAAAGCTTAATAAATAAGCTTTCCATTGATGTATGGTTTGTTAGGATAGGACAATATTTGGCCGAGATACAGCTATTTGAAAATCTGGAATCTGAGGGTGCAAAAAAATCAAAATATTGAGAAAATCGCCTTTAAAGTTGTCCAAATGAAGTTCTTAGCAATGCATATTACTAATCAAAAATTAAGTTTTGATATATTTACAGTAGGAAATTTGCAAAATACCTTTCCGGAACATGATCTTTACTTAATATCCTAATGATTTTTGGCATAAAAGAAAACTCTATAATTTTGACCCATACAATGTATTTTTGGCTATTGCTACAAATATACCCCAGCGACTGGTTTTGTGCTCCAGGGTCACATTTATGTAATGTTTGTTGTTTATTTTTTATATGATTTATTTGACTACACAAATAGCACATCACTTAATGTGAACCATTTTCATATTAAATATATATCCTTGCTAAATAATAGTATACGTTTCTTTCAAAAAGAAAAAAAAATGCACCAGAAAAGTCTTACAGACCCCAAAACTTTTGAGGTGTATGTAACATTAACATTAACCAAAATGAAATGCTAGTCTGTGATGCCTAATGTTTGAACCTTGTTGTAAAGTGTTACCAATTTAACTTAATTTTTATATTCTGTTATTAAAAGTTTCTGTTTGTCTGTGTTTGTCTCTAGGCAGGGACGTGGTCCCAGGCACGTGTGTACAGGGGTATTTATGCCTCCTGGGCGGCAGTGTTGTTGCTGGTGGTGTTAACGCTGGCCAGGGCACTTTACTGGAGCTGCATGAGGGTCAGCCAACCTCTCCACAACCTCACATAGTGAGAGAGAGACACGGCAAGAGGGGGGCTGAGATTAGGGGTGGTGGGAAAAAATAAAGTCCACAGGAAAAGAGCTATAGAGAATCATGGTTAACTCTTAAAGCTTGATTGTGAAGGCTGTAATGAAGGGTCAAAGTAAAATCCAGGCTTGAGAAGCATGTGAAAAAAAGCTATTCTGGCAAAGAAGATTAGTGTTTTAAACTTATTTTTATTCGGAAGCTTTCTTTGGATGTGTTTTCATCCGTGAATATGGACTGACTTGTTACTCATGGTTACATGCATACATGTAGTTATGATTCCTAATGCTCTTTCGGTTCTAACCATTTACACACATACAGGTGTGAATACGTCACATACTCTCAAACCCACAGAACTCTCTATGTACATCTTAAATTAACTACACTACAATACACAAAAGACACCAATTCAACAACATTCAAACCTTCAACACAACATTAGCTGCCTCTCTAGTGTCCAAATAAGCTCAGAAGCCTTACAAAGAGAGGAAGTACAGGGTGATCTCCACTAGAGGGTGTTCCAAAACAACACACACCTGTATGTTCCGTCACATTACCTGTTTCTCTGTACAAACACCGCTAATCCAAATCCGTTTGGATGAGAATATGCTTAACAAATGCGCATAACCATTGTGTAACTTATTTTTCATAAACGCTAAAAGTGTAAATGCGCTCCAACACACTCTTTCTCCCTCTTTTTCTTTAGTTGTGAATGTCAAAAACAGTATTTTTTTTATAATTGTGAATTTTGTTTGTAAATATTTGTTGTTTATTTCGTGAATGACTGAACAGTTGCACTGTAGCTCTAACACGCTGTGATTCCTTTTTTATGTTTTTATTTAATTTGCAAAATCACTACTGAAAAACCACTACTGATAATGTTTTGACTGGAATGAATATCGAGATAACAGCCACACGCGCCTTTGGAAAACAACAAAAAAAAGTTATGTCTTTGTTCTGATGAAGGTCAGCCGTGTTTCATGGACTTTATCAAAAGGGTCATTTACAACCTTTCTTCTCATGTTCATGAGAAGTTAATCGTCATTTTCAGGTACTGTAAGTTTGATTAAGTTTGAAGGGAAAAAATAAAGTAGCATCAATTTTAAATGAATAACTAAAGTTAAAGATAAAAAATAAAACTGTCAATAACTAATCAAAAGTTTAATGATAAGAGAAACAATAGCAAGGCAGATCAATCAGTTTCAATCCTATTCTAATCTAAGTTTTTATTTTGTTTATTTATATATTTGGCATTACTAAAACTACACTGTAAATTTTTCAAAGTTGTAAATAAAACAGATTATTGAAGTATGCTTTACAAGAAAATACTGTTTAATTTTTTTACTTAAAAATATCCAGTTTAATTTAATGTGTTACTTGCGCTTTCTTAGTAATTGTTTGTGAAATTTTCTGAGTGAAAACTGTTTTACATTTTTTTCTGTGTATATTTATTGACATTGAGTTTCAAAATAAATAATATAAAATAAAGCGTTTCATAAATAAAAAATAAAGAAATAAACAACATTTTGAACAAAAAGCTGAAAAAAGACTATGAATTGGATTCAGAATGATAATCAAAATGTAGATAGAGTCGATCAACACCCCAAAGCTTGACAGTCAGTATTACCTCTTCATTGGTCGACATTTTATTCCATAATGTTACACAGTTTTGATGCTGTTTTATGTCTGATGATCGTGTTAGAATACATGTGGAAGCGTCTGTTGTTTCGGTTTCTTCTTCACTTGTGTTTTTTGGAAATTCTGTACAGAAGATGTGTACTAGCGCCCCCTACAGTATAACAATGAAAACACGGATTCTAGGAGCACAAGTATAGCTCAAATATATTTAGACTTTTTCTAAGTATAAGTCAAGTATACTTAAATGTCATTTTAAGTATATTTCTGAGAAGTACATAAAGCCCATTTCTGAGAAGTACATAAAAAGTAGACTAAAAGTATACTTTCCTATTTTTAGTTTAAAAGAAGTATACTAATAGCACACTTGAATAAACTTCTTTTTCGTAAGGCTGAGTTCAAACATCCTTGCACATTGTGTGCGAGGAAAAATATAGAGTTCGAAACCTGGCTAGAAGCTTTGGTGTCCCGTTAATTGTTTTGACTGAATTGTATCTAATTACTGTTTATATCTTTAAAGCAGCGTTAAATAAGTTCTTCTTTCCCTCAGCAGTGCTGTTCCCTGATTGGGTGTATAAACCAGCGTGGTCTCCAGGCTCGCGGCAGGTGCAGTTATGGCACTTCCTGTTAGAGCTGTTGGGGCATGGCGAAGGCGGAGCGATCACGTGGGGCAGCGAATGGGGAGAGTTTGTGATCAGAGACCCAGAGAGATTAGCTAAACTGTGGGGGGACAGGAAGGGCAAACCGCACATGAATTACGACAAACTCAGCAGAGCTTTAAGGTACATGCACTGACCAATAATTCATACATAGGATAGGACCTAGGAAAATTAGGCTATAATATTGAGATATAGTACTTAAAGAATAATTATGTAAGTTTATATGACTGTCACACTTCTCTCCAGATTTACAGAGAAAAACTATAAAGAAAAATTCCTAAAAAGCTGTTACAGTAGGCTATACCTCAAAGATACATAGGCCTACAGTACATGTTAATACAATATCTATAGCTACAAATATTATATATTACTATGACATAGCCTATATTTTCAGATCCTGGTAATGTCATGTGCTTCTTATTTCAATTCCATGAAGGCCTACAGACTTTCATACATACAAAAAATATAGAAACACACTCACACAATGCATAATTTTTATGATATTTTATGAGTTGACTAATACCTAGTTTGACATCTGTTTTTTTTCTTCAGGTATTATTATAATAAGCGAATTTTGCATAAGACCAAAGGGAAACGTTTTACCTATAAGTTTAACTTCAGCAAACTAGTTTTAGTGAATTACCCAAGTCTTCCAACCTGCCCACAGGTGCGTGAGAGTGTTTTACATGTTTTATTGCATAGCTGTAAATCTATTTTTTACTTTTTATTATAACTTTTTTTTTGATCTCATTCTTTTTCAGAATACAACATCTGTCCCTTTCTCTGTCTTTCCTTCTCAGCTTTCCTTCAACCACCCTTCTGTTGACAGGGGTAAGAGTGTCATTGCTGACCTTTTAACAATGAAATATTGCTTATTTGAGATATTATCACTGATTTGAGCAAATAGCACTGAAAATTTGATCCCGTTTTTAACATTGACACAATTTTTCTCTGTATCCATGTTTGTTTGTGTGTGCATGTTGTCTGTGGACAGCTGTGCAGTCAATTTCTCATCCCCTTTTCCTGCCATATGCTTTCCCCAAACCCCTCCCCTTTTCCCAGACACATCCAATCCAAAGGCAGTTTCCCCTCTTTTCTGGCCCGCCTCCCTCAGGAACTAACCTATCAGAGCTCTCCTACCTGTCACCAGTCAACCTCACCCTTCAGTTCACACAGACTTTAAACTGGCCAGTCAAAAGCAGCACAGAGTGGCCTCTCAACAGAGTCATGGGATTACAAGAGAGGATTAAAAGTGGACCACAAGACAAAAACCATGACAACAAAAATGACAGAAAGATATTTCCTGAGACCATGCATTAGAAGTTTTAGTACTGTTATTGGTTTTAATATATTTATCTTTTTTGTTGTTGTTGTAATTTTATAAATCCTGACTGGCAGGTTGAGTGCAAAGCACTTTATATATTTAATACTATTAACTTAAAGAGACAAGAGAGTACATATGAATAATTTGAAAAGTAATTTATCTGCAAAGCATTTTAATTGAGTCTAAAATTATGAAGTGTCTGTCTAATAACACATTGTTAAATAAAGATGGTTTTCTTTATGCATTTTTTTTTTTTTACATTTTGTTGGATTAAATAAATTTGGCATTCACTGGATGATTGCAGATTTGACTATTTGAATGTTGAGAAAGCAAGCTCATTGGCTGCAGAATCAACAGAGGCCAATCAGCTTGAGCCGTGTAGCAATGTGATTGCTAGTAGATATTTTATGACTGAATTTATATGCGTACATATACACACACACTGCAGATCCTGTACAGTATAAACTAACAGTATGAAATTTTTACTTCTATATTGTACAGTTGGGGATGGTTCTATATGTGGTGGGGGGTGTCCCCCTTAGAAATCTAGAAATCGTGTTTATGGGGCACCTCGATATGGACTAAAGTGCATTTTAGCATTAGCAATTAAAGGGGCAGAATCTTCTGTTTGCAGATGGGGTTGACACATTTTTATTTTTTAAATACTTGCAAAACATGTAAATCATCATTCCAGCACAAAATGAAAAGGAAACATTTAAAATCAAGCTTTAAATGTAACTGCAAAGAATGCAATAACAACTCTTTTACTGGAATAGCTCCTTACTGGCTGCTGATCCACTCAGGCAATGTGATTATATCTTGCTAAAACTTTATTTTAATCTATTGAACTTTTTTGTTTATTACTGTTGGGCTGTATATGAATTATTATTAACATTACCGGCACCTAAACAGTAATAAATTCTACTATGATCCTATCTAAAAACATGATACATAATAAACATAACAGATACTTCTATAGTACAGATGCACTTCATATGATTTCTCCATGATCTCAGTGTCTTTCACTCCCAGTATGACAAAGAACAGCGTCTCCTGAACTCTTGTCCAAACTCATGGATCCATTTATTAGCCACTGAAAAGACACCATTAAAAATATAGCTTAATGTCATATGAAACTGAAATAAAATGTAGTCACATTAACATAGATTTATTTCTACGTATACACAATAAAAAAGTAATACAAGTTGTTAAAAAACCTACCCCATTTGTTACCCCTTAACACAGGGCATCCAGCATGCTCTGTATACCAATCCACATTTCCATTTTTGCGGAGGTTGTACCAAAACACAGCTGAACCCTTACACAGCAGAGAATTGACGCATGAATTTTACTTAAATCATTCTAATATACCTTATAGATCAGTGATTTGAGGGTTTACCTTTTTTGGCTTCAATGCAACTCCAACTTGAGGAAACACAGTGGCGCCCCCTATCTCCACATCACTCATCTACAGGCACAGGACATGACTTACTCATATTACAACAATAAACTTATAATGTAGGCATATAATGTTTATAATGCCATTTGGGATAATGACAAGGGCATCACTTACATAAATTAAGAATGTAGCAATCCTTTCATTCTCATCATCCTGTGTGATCAAGCAGTCTTAAGTTATCTTGCAATGATTCAGTTAATATGTAATCACGTTCTCACTGACAGAATATAGTGATTCAGTTTGAAGTCCTACAAGCGAATTAGCAATTTCAGCCCATGGGTTCTCTCTGGGTTAAGGACAATTAATCAACTAGGTTAACTGGAGTAATACACTTGAAGAGAGAGGAACACATTAGATTGTGTTGTCATCAAAGCGTGGATAGGCTAAATATTACATTATTTACCAAACTTTTGATTAATCATCACCAACAAAAATAGCTTGTCATTTTAAGTATATTTTAGTTGTGATGTGAAGCACATGACTTTTCGAGAGAGAGAGAGAGAGATTTGTGTGTGTAGTGTGTGTGTGAATTATCTGCATCTGTGCGTTCTGTTTCATTCCTCCTGGTGCTTAAAGGGATAGTTCACCCAGAAATGAAAAATAGCCCATGATTTACTCACCCTCAGGGCAGCCTAGGCGTATCTGAATTTTTTCTTTCAGACGAACACAATCGCAGTCATATTTAAAATTGTCCTGGCTCTTCCAAGCTGCAGTGAATGGTGCCCCTTTTTTTGAAGCCTAAAAAACTGCATCCATCCATCATAAAACTATACTCCACACAGCTCCGGGGTGTTAATACAGGCCTTCTGAAGCAAAATGATGCGTTAGTGTAAGAAAAATATAGATTTTTAAAAATGTATAAACTGTAATCTCCAGCTTCCGGTCGCTC